GTAGTGGGGATCTTCAAATTTCGAGAAGCAAACTCAGAATGTCAAAATTCCTTCAACCAACATGTACATTTTGTGGGGGAGAGGAGAAATCGAAAGGCAAAAGAGAAAAAGAACAAAAAAAAACTCACAACAGCTAGTTGTTGTCAGAAATGGGGTGGAATCACCGCTATAGAATAGCGCCAGTGATAAGGTACGTAGCCGGTGATTCTGTTTGGGTCGCCGATGTCTTAGATGCTGATGGAAGCTTTTGAAATTTGTTAAAGATCGTTGTAGTGGCAGAAATTTTCAATGCGAAGGAAAATGGGAACGCATGACAAAATTGTGAAAGAAGAAAGTTATTATCTATGACGAGCATTAGCAGCAATGAGTATTAGCGGCCACGGCTAGAAATTGCTGCGATGGGACGCGTAATAATAACGACATCATTTGAGGGAATGTTTGACACTATTTTTTTGGGTATTAGTGGTGACAATGTCGCTGGTTGTAACCTCCCGTTTTCACAACCAAAAAAATCATTTTTATTAAGGTAAAACTCAACAATATTAAAATCCATATTAATAAAACCATTTGTCCAAATTACATTTGTTTAAAATCAAAGTAATATAATAATGCGGAATCTTCATTTTTGCTGATGAATGTGTACATTTACGCTTTCACCTTCTCATAATAATCGATGATACCTGAAAAGCATTAACAACTGGATAAACACGAAGCTTAGTTAGTTCCCCTAAAATATCCATACAACACAACATAATAAGAAGCTATGGGTTATCAGTAACCTTGGGGATTATCAGCAATCCAGTGGGCTAACAACATACCTTGTGGATTAACAACATGTTTAGGGGTTATCAGCAACCCTGAGAAGTATCAGCAATCCCAAAATATCAGCAATGCAATACAGACAAAGCAGCAAACAACAATAAAGACCTAGCTGGTCACAGACATAAATAACATACAAGTAAAGTAGGGAGAAGACTCACTACCGCTTACTTGACCCCTCACCACACACTACTCCACTGCCAACAAATCTCCATGGGATGTGTAGTCATAAGTAATTAGAGGTGAGATAGCCACCCAAACATATGATCATGCTCTAAAGCCACAACCAAACAAGGAATAAACAAGAAATCCTAGATCAAGAGTTCTCAAGCTATCCTACATGGCTACATATGACCCTTAGGGTATTCCACTAGATGATAACCAACCTACTATTACTCTGACCAGTATACCACTACTGTTGCATCCTAACACATAAGGATATAAATATATCTAACAACTCACTACAACGCATTAACATCCTATACACAAGGATAGATAACCAAAACTAGTTAGCCTGTATTGGTGCCTTCGATCCACGGGTACGGTGAGAAAAACTCACCTGAAACGAAGAACCCAGAAACACTGCAACACGCTCTCCTTTCTGCGCCGCTTGCTCCCAAGAGCCCTTTAGCACCAAAACATAGAGGAATCTAATCAACATCCCAAATCCTACAAGTTTGACCTAAAATCAAACTGGTCAAAGAGTCGAGGATCAACAAAAATGAACAGTCAATAGCCCCTTATGACGTGAAAGTCTATTGGTCAATTCGTGAGCCACTAAAAGATCAATTAGTCACGATCATTCGATCTTCACGATGTGACATCCATCATCTCATGTCGTAAGAACTGTCTGAATGACATTTTAATGACTAAAACCCCTTAATCCATTAAGCCACAAATCCACCTCCTCCAAAAGGTTTCCTAACATCCCAAAAACCATAAAAATTGATTCTTTAAGGTCTTGCATGTCCAATGCAAGACTTGAGCTCAAATTAGGGCATTTATGAAGAATAGGTGGTCAAAACCTCAAGTATGAGCTCAAACATCACCCAAACTTCATATCTACCACATATAATCACCAAGGAACTCTAACGACCCATAAAGTTGTTAACTTTAAGGAGTCCTAATACTCTAACTCATCTAACCATGGATAATTATGCATAAAACCTTAGATCTAGCAACAAGAAATCATAAATCTAGAATCTTGGTTACTCACAAAGGTCTAGAGATGTTGCTAGTCGATGCAAATGAAGCTTCCAAGCTAGATCTATGCTCCAAAGGTGATCCCTTCTTCTTCAAGCCACCAAAAGCTCAAGAATCACAAGGAGAGGCTAGGGTTAGGGTTTTTCTATGTTTGAGGATGAAGGAGGATGGGAATGAACCCTAAAAATTGATGGGATTTGAGCATAGAAAATAATCCTATGTGTACATGCAACCCTAATTGTTGGATCTATTTTTCTCTATTAGATATAAAAGCATTGAACTCAAAAAACGAGAAAACCTAACATGATTCTACTATTTTCAAAATCAAAAAAATAGGGATTAGAGCACATACATGTATTGTTATATTGTAATAACAATGGATGCCTTGAAGATATTGACTTTGAGAACAAGTGTCACAAGTGTAACACCTCTAATGGCTCACAAACACACTATGCAAGAGGATGAGAGGAGAGAAGAGGGAAGTTGCTCAAAGTTTCAGATCTTCTAGAGTTTCATAAGGATGGCCACAACCTAAAGGGGGAAGCTCCTTTTATAGTTAAGGTTTCTTAGTCCCAAAGCTAGGGTTTGTAGGTGGAAACCCTAATTTCCAGCTTAAGGCCTAAGCAGCCCATAAACACCTTTTCTCAAGACTTTGGACGAAAATCCTTAGGGCCTCCCTAGAATTTTCAACCAACCCTATATAGGGTGATCCAAGAGCCCAAACCAAAACTATTAACTAATTACAAAACAACCCCTGTACTTTTAATTAATTTCTTTAATCCCAAAATTAATTCCAAATTAATTTCTGATTAAATATCAATTAAATAACATGATTTATAATTAATATATTATTTTCATAATACATTAATAAATCATTTTATATACTAATTTATTATTTAAAATAATAAATTCAACATCTTTCCCCAAAAATCATCCTGTCATGTTACTAGTATGAAGGCAACCCAAAAGGACTGTGCTACCATCAATTCAAGTACATACCAATTATAGTTATGGGATCAGATACCTAATCCAACAAAAGTGACTTAGAGGGGCTTACGACAGTGATACCAACGAAGGGGCTCGACGATGAGCTTGGTATCCAGGGGTGGTTTGGTTACATGTGTCTCAGCTAGGATGGTCACAAAATCTTAAAGAGTTCGAGTGGATCCGTTCCTTTTTTCTTCCTCTTTCTCTCATGTTTTATCTTTTGGGGGTTCTTGGGAGTAATAAGCACACCATGCCCCTTAAATGTTTAATGGTGTAAGGTGGTGAGGTGGAGGTTCCATGACGTGGGGGTGTAGACAAACCATGCCCTATAGTTTTGTAATAGAACTCTCTTGATGAAAATTTTGTGAAAACCTTTCAACTTCTACTAAACTTTTGGTTTTGAATATTAGATTCACGAGCAAATACTCACATCTAATCTTATTATTATAATATTCACTTGCTTCAATTTATTTTTTGGTTGTGCAACTCAATTCAAGATCGTCATACGGTGCAAGTGTTTGAGAATATTTATGCCCTTCAAATGTTTAATGGTGTAAGGTCATGAGGTGGATGTCCGATGGTGTGGGGGTGTAGACAAACCATGCCCTATAATTTTATAACAGAACTCTCTTGACGAAAATTTTGTGAAATCCTTTCAACTTCTACTTAACTTTTGGTTTTCAATATTGGATTCACGAGCAAATACCCACATCTAATCTCAAGATTCTAAATAACGTAAGGTATGACTTGCCGACAATGTCAAACATCAACTTCTAATCTCAAGATTCTAAATAACATAACTCTCTTGACACAAATTTTATAACAGAACTCTTTTGATGAAAATTTTGTGAAATCCTTTCAACTTCTACTTAACTTTTGGTTTTCAATATTGGATTCACGAGCAAATACCCACATCTAATCTCAAGATTTTAAATAACTTAAGGTATGACTTGCCGACAATGTCAAACATCAAGCTCTTTTGAGTCATGACGAGCCATGTTGTTTGTAAAGCGTGACTTAAGACGTCAATTTTGTATACAATTAATAACTTTACATATATATATTTTTTACTATTATTCATTTATATATATATATATATATATATATATATATATATATATATATATATATATATATATATATATATATATATATATATATATATGACTTAAGAAGACATTTTGTCAAAACTTTGTGACAAGTACAAGACTTGGAGCCATATCGAGCTTTTTAGAACATTATGACTAATCTTATTATTATAATATCCACATATGCATCTTTTTTTTTGTGCGATTTAATTCAAGATCATCATATGGTGTAAGTTTTTGGGAATATTTATGTAGGTGATTAATCTCATATTGAAAAGAGTTTGAAAGTACTATTTAGGGGGTGTTTAGCAATGGAGCTTATTATCTTATTATCGGTTCCAAACCACTAAAAGCTAAAAAAGTATTTGGATAAAAACATCTTATATAGTGTTGACAAACCACTAATAAACCATTTTTTCATTAGTTATCTCTTTCTGACTTATTAGTTTATAAGCTAACAAGCTATAAGCTAACAAACAATAAACTTTTTGGTAGATTCTTCTTAAGTATCTTTAACTAATCTAATAAATAAATTTTAAGTTCTAAATGTGCCAATCATTTTAACATTCAACTACATTTGCTTTTATCAGTAACTTCTAAAGCTGATATTACCAGGAACGAGACTACACTATGGGTCATTTGACCCACCTAAATTTAAAAGATTTATTATATATTATATACCAAAAAAATTTGAACCTACCTAAAAAAAAATTAAATGACCTACCTTATGTTGGAAAAAAGATGCCTTGTTTAAAAGAAAAATTGATATCTTAAAAAAACATTTTTGATTCAAAAACATATATTTACCATCTATAGTTACTCAAAAATCAACCAACTAAATTAAAATATGTGAGATTATAAATAACAAGATAGGAAAAACTTTAAAATATTTTTATGCTTGGTAGCTATGATTTAGTTAGACAAGTTAAAATTCAATTAGCCGCATCGCTTTTTTATTATAAATTGGCTTATGCATTTGTTTTTAAAATTTTAATACATATATTTATCAAAATCTGTTTTTTGAAAGGAACGATTGGTCCGGTTGAACTGTTTTTTTTTCTTCGCAAATCAGCCAATTCCCCTGTTTGCTAACAAACTAATTTTTGAGATAAAAAAATAGTAACTTGAACGGTTATCAGTTCAACATGTCGAAACAGGTCAAACTACTAGTGTGGTCCGGTTTTTAAATCCATGCTTGTATCAGTTGGGTTGAACTTTTTTAGTGAACCACATTATTTTTTATTCTTGGTCCTAATCCATTTCCTATATGTAATATCTATGTTTGTTCACATGACTGAACTAATTTCAGAAATATAAGTTAATATAAAAGACTTGGATTCTGTTTTATCATCATGCAACTGTATTTCCAACATTCAAGCAAATTCAAACACTTCAATTAATATGCATATTGAGTACATTACTAAGCCTCCACAAGATGGATACACCATAGTAATATTTCTTCTTATCAACCTCAGAGTTTGTGTACCCAGTACACTGCATAGCTTGAGATGGCTACCGAGACACAGCTACAAGCTGCAAGTTAATGGAGAGTTTACTGTTCATCCAAAAATTCAAGCTCATTATATGCAACAATAGGAAGTAACAATGTACCATGGAATAGACCATTTCTTCTCACCTAGACCGAATAGTATCATAGACCGAATATATTCTCTACAACATAAAAGGCTCTGAGTAAATCTCGAATCTTGTGGTACATGATAGTTGAGGCTCCTGCAATGATCAATATGGCAATGTATATAAACAACAATCTTTACGTTCATGTACATCATATATATATATATATATATATATATATATATATATATATATATATATATATATATATATATATATATATATATATATATATATATATATATATATATATATATGCTACTGTAATCAGTATGTTTGTGAGCATCATACCTGTGATGTAGAAGATGCAAATGGAGCATTTAGGCCTTGTTTTTGTTGAGCATCACGAACTACTTTGCGCATATTGTCAAGTAAATCTCCATATGTTAATGTACGTGCACTTTGCACAGCTTGGATGAAGCTATAAGTCAATGCACCAATGGAATTACCTGTGAAAGCCTGCATGTTAATGAAGCTATATGTTAATGTACGTGCACAGGACCTTGAGTAAATGTTAGCTAGTAGGAAGCTACATAATTATTGTACATGGAAATTACGTTGTTATAAGACAGAACAAGTTCTTAAATGGCAAAAATTAGATAAATATACGGACCGATGTATCTGCTGAATTTTGATGGTCATCACAGGCACTAATACATATTGCTTTTCCACCGCGAGTACCCCCATATGAAGAAGCATGTGAGGGATGATGTTTGTCCCACTTATAGAATCCTCCGCTTCATGAAAAGGTAAATGTGAGGATTCGTATTTTTCAAAAAACTGCGACTATTTATATAGTATTAAGTTGTGACTGTTGTTCGTATATATAATACCATGAATACTAACCGGTCAATCTCACAAAGAAAAGGAAGGTCAAGAAGAGTTCCACTAAAGCAAGTGTCCATGATACTGTGAAGTATTACTCCATGAGGTAGCGGCGCTACAATGGTGGCATTGATCTCATCATCTAGTATCTTCCCAGATTGCCTATAGTCAACAGGACATAAAGCTTCATCATACCCATCTTTTTCATCTCCATTGTTATCAGGCACATGAGAGCCATGTCCTGCATAATAGAACACCAATGAATCCCCGGAACAGCAATCTTTCGTGAGCCACTCCATTGCCATCAATATGTTGCGTCTTGTTGGGGTCCTGGTGGGGTCTGGTTCTTCTTCTGCAGAAAAGTCAAACTAGTCGAGAGAGAGAGAGAGAGAGAGAGAGAGAGAGAGAGAGAGAGAGAGAGAGAGAGAGAGAGAGAGAGAGAGAGAGAGAGAGAGAGAGAGAAACCTGTGAGGATGCGGATGGAACCATTTGGGAAACCCAATTTCACCAATAATTGATGCATGCTCATGACGTTATTTATACTGGCAGCTAGTGACTTCGGGTGACCTTTGTAGGTCACGCCACACAGCACCGCCTTCTTCTTCTCATGAACCTCCGGTGATTGTTGGAAGTTGTTGTTATGCATCATAGGAGACCACGTCTGCGGTTCAGGGTAGCCATAACCGTAACCATACACAGCCGGAGACTGTGGTGGAGGGCTATCATAACCTCCACTGTAGATTAATGGCGGTGGCTGTGGGCTGTAGGTACCAGAACCATACACCGGTGGAGCGTAATAACCTCCATATGCTGGTGGTTGTGGAAGCTGTCCATGGACGCTATTGTAGTAGTTGTTGTTTGAACGTGTATTGGCATAGCCATCGATAAACTGGAGCATCCCAGGGACAATACGATGACTAGTTCTTTTGTTGGGCTTGGTGATTGTATAGCAGATGGGACAACGTCTCCCAGGTGCTACTGTCACGTAATTGTAGCACCCTTTGCAGAGTTGTTGAGTTTCCATATTTGTTTGTTATCGAATTTGCATATTTTGCAAGGTCGAATGAAGTGCCCATTTTATAGGCTGAAACATTTAGTGACAACCACATAAGCTGCTTGGCCTTATGCTTTATACCAAAAACTTATTTTAGTCATACAAAATGAGAATATATTCCATCATGCATGGGTGAGCAAATTGGGAAGGAAGAACCAGATTCACACTTCAATGTTCCTTTGGGTGTGAGATCAGATTCTTTCTTTGAGTGGTTCTACGTTTCCTATTACTGCATTTTGAGTTTTGCCCAATGGACAATTACATTTCTAGTGCTGATTCTTATCAACTAACTCTTCTATGCATGGCAAATCACTATCATAAGTATTCATAAACTTGTTTCTTGCAAGACTTGACCTCCCGTATTCTTGTTGGTGGATGTTATTATCGGAGAATGTACCAACGGAAGGCTTGTATAGTTTAATGTAATGATTGAATAAAGTGGAATGTGTAGCTGTCATTTAATTGATTAACTCACTTAGCGATTCAATGGATATGACGTTATTCTGTTGGAAAAAAGAAAACTTATGTTAACAAATAAATAACTTTCTAAAAATAATTTTATTAAATTAATAATTGATTCTTTATTTTAAATTTCAAATTTTAAAATTTCTCTCTTGAATTATATTAAATTAATACGATTAGATTAAAAAATAAAATAAAATTAATATAAATTATAAAATGATATAACTCCACGTATTTATTTAAATAAACGATTATAATTTTATATAACTTAAAAAATATCTCTTAATTAATAATTTATTTAAAAAAATTGATTAATAATTTTGATTTTCTAATACGAAATTTTAATTAATTCTATAACCGTGGTTATCACGGGTTATAAACTAGTATATTATAGAAGAAAATTTTAAGTTGTAAAAACAATAAAATCAGGGGCGGAGTTATTAGGGGGCTGCAGGATGCAGCGTCCCCTCCAACCATTTTACTTGAAGTGTCGGTATACCCATCGAATTATATAAATTGTATAACAAAGTAAGCTCATATAGGTTGTGAAAAAAACACGATGACCCCCTACGTTTTAATAAGCTTAAAATAATGTTATGTTCATGATCACCTTATCACTCACCTTAAATATTAATATCCAATTAAAATAAAACCAATATGATAAAAGCTTGTGCTTCTTTCAAGTTTCTATTAATAAGATAAGGTATATTTTAAATTTAATTGTATTCTTAACATTTTTTGTAATTTTTAATTATTATATTATTATGATTGGTAATTTGGATTTTTATAATCATAAGATAATCATAATTAAAAAATCATAAATTTAATGCTTCTTATAAAATTTTAGATTATATTATTTTATTCGGATATAACATTATATTTATATATTATTAGGACGACAGTCCATAAACCCCATTTATTCTTAGTTTCTGGCTTCGCCACTGAATAAAATGATGATATGCAATCCAAACTGTATATAATATAATGAATTATATAAAGATGGCTTAAGGAATAAGCGGCTAATGATGTAGTTAAAGAAAAAAGATGACTTTATGAGAGTGTAATGTTTGATATATTGTAGGAATTAGATGCATTTTGAAGAAAGGGTAGGATAAATGACTTGGTATCATTTATGGCCATTAGAATCTCCTAAAGTCGTGGTAGAGATAAACATAGTAAGGCCAACTCTGCTAGAGCCTATTTTATATAACTTTTCAAGATTCCGACTTATCTTTTCATGTTAGAAGCAATTAGCAACTAGATGGTCTTGAAGAACAAACGTATGTATCTTCTCTTTTTCTTTTGTGTGTTGTGAGTTTCTCGGTTAAGGATTTCTTTTTCATTTCTTATTTATTTTCTTCTTTATTGTCATAGTTGAAGTTAAAACAATATGTCAGAAATAATCGAGAATAAATCACAATAAAAATATAGTATCTATCATGGTTTTGTCAATATGACATACATCCATACTATAAGAGTGAGTATTTTTATTCACGAACTTGAAAACTATAGTACAATACAATTGAACCATAGTTGTCGACCATTATATATATAGATTGTGAATAAGACATAAAACCCTAAACATAAACCTCACTACAACAAATATCAGCATTAGCGTCAACACCTTTAGCGGCGACGACCAAGTTTCACGTTGTTTGTCACCGCTAATGGTGTGCACCGCCGTTAATGCTCACACATCATCGATCCATGTCAACTGCTGAGATGAATTGATAGCCGTCTATTTAGGCCTAATCCAACGCCAGTAAATCCATTTCGTTTAATACATTTAGCGGCAATACCTTTATAACCGGTGACAACATCACCACTAATACTAAAAAATTACCGCAAAAGATTGTCTCCAACGCATGTTGCCGCTATTAATCCTTTCGTCGCCGCAATTAGTATATGTTGTTGCGACTACTCATCGCAAATATGCCCCCTTTGTTCTGTCCAAGTTCAGTGTGCCTCCCATTTTCATTTTTCGAGAGAATTCGTTGCGACCTACGACCTCGAACCATCAAAGGCTTCTGTAACGCCCGCGTTTCCAGGCTAGGCATTATCATTGATGTAATAGTTTAGGTTAACCCTTGTAACTCTTTTTGAAGTTTTAATGATGAAATATTTGAGTATTATGTGAATTATGTGTTTATTTTCTTAATTATTATAATTTAATGAATTAAGAATAAAATAAGCATCAAATTTGAAGTGTGGTATAATCCCAATATCTTTGCATAAAGATGTAGTGGTCGAAACAAGGATTCCGAAGATATAAAGAATGCCAGAATCCGAGTTATAACGAAGAAGTTATGACCTGTCGAAGTTTCGCGATAGAACCGACAAACAATATGATGTAAAAAGTGAAATTTACGTTAGAGAAATATTTAGCCTTAGTGATCTAAATGAAAGTCGTAGAGTTCGTTAAACCGAGAGCATGCATAAAAAGAACGCCCAAATCTGACTTCGTATGAGGAAGTTATGATTTTTCGAAGTTTCGACTTAGCAGTATGCAGCCCGAATACTCGATTTGAGATCGAGCGGTTTTTAGCCAAAACAATCTAAATTTGAATCGAAAGTCTCGTTAAAAGGAGAAAAATGATAAAAAGATAGGCGAAAACGGACGTCGGATGAAGAAGTTATGAATTTATAACGGAATTTTCCTGTTCCGGCCTACTAAAAATAAATTCAAAATTAGCCGGTGGAGTCTAAACGAAAGTTGTAGATCGTATTCTCACCTACGCGTGGATATAAAGAATGTCGAAAACGGAGTTCGTATGAGGAAGATATGAATTTTTGAAGTTTATTAAATATTTTCAATATTTGATTTATATATATATTCCGATATTATCCGAAGGGGGGGGGGGGGTGGGGGAGTCAACGACCTTATCGTCATTACGCCCAGCGTAATCTCAAGTTACGCCCAGCGTAATGCGACCTACCAGCCCCTATAAAAGGGTGTCGAGGGCAGCCGAGTAGTTGCTCATTTCTTCCCTTTTTCTCGCGTTTTTACATCATTTTTCGTGCAAGAATTATCCCGAAGCCCCGATATCATTCCCGAGCCCCGAAGCAAGTCCCGAGGTCCCAAAGATCCTGAGAAGTAAGATTCCCGAGCCGAAGCTCTGCCCGCGAGGAGTCCGGTTTTTGTGAAGATCTTTCAGATCTGCCGAAGAATACTACTTCTACAAGCCGTAGTGTTGTCCGATCATCTTCTGATCAAGTGAGTGTGTAGTTACTTTCTTCTAACGCATAATTATGAAGTATTTTATACGAAATACGTTTTATGTGTATAATATTGTTGTTATATGTATGAATGTATATTCATTCTCTTCTATCTCATAGATCTGATATATTTTCTATAAAATACTTGTTATGTGGGTGTGCCTTATCTGTTATGTGGAATATGTATTGAATGAAAATGCTATACAGGTTTTAAACTATGTATAAAAATATATATTTTTATCTACTAATATGTTGGGTAGAACATGGGTAGATAGTTGGTGTGTAATAAATAGATGAGAGGCCTCGATGTTGTTGTTGATCTAGACAGTCTTGTGGAACGCTAGCAGGTTCATAACCTGTAGGTGTTGTGAATGATGTGTTCACCGGTGTACTCTATCCCCCTCATGGTTGCCTTTAGGATATCTATTGTTGAGGAAACCCCTTAGCAGTAATGTCAAACCCGATGAAAATCCTAGATTAGGTCCCTTGAGATAGATGTTGTTTTAGGGACGCAAAGTGAGGATAACGGGAATGGGTAATCGAGATAGTGATTGGTTGGTGAAATTAAATATAATTTATTTATTGTGGGTTGAAAACCCTATATGCTCACCAGGCTCCCAAGCCTGACCCACTCAGTTTTATTTGTATTACAGGAAGTGGCGCAAGGGCGTAAGATGGATGAATCATCGATTTGTTTTGTTTACAAGTCTCTATATGTATATATTTGTTGAATGACTTGTAATGTTATCGTTTATGCTTTATGGTCTGTATCGGAACATGACATCCTGAGTTTTGATTATATAATGCTTTGATAAATATTATTTTATCATGTTTTGTTTTGGGAACAAATTCCGCAACACTTTTAAATCAAAAGGATTTACTCTGAAATTATTTTAAAAAACATAAATGAAATCGTTCTTTTCTGGCCGTGATTTTGGGGATGTCACAGCTTCCACCGGCGTCCAACACATCGACGACCCACCCCTTCATCGGCGACCGACCCCTTCACTGGCAACGTAGTGATGTTCCAAGCCCCATCACCGACGACATCAAGTGTGAGTTTTTTAATTTTTTTTTCTCTTTTTCTGTTTGATTTATCCTTTCTCCCATTGAATTTACATGTAGTTGAAGGAATTTTGATATCTTGGAGTGTATTGCCAGGGTTTGAAGCTCCCCACCGCAACCACCACTTTTCGTCGAAGCCCCATAACAGAAAATGTATTTTTTTTGTTTTTTTTATATGTATAATTTATTAAATTTGTGTATGTATGATGTGTATTTTTATGAGTATGATACATATATATATATATATATATATATATACATATGTGTGTGTGTGTGTGTGTGTGTG